ACAAGCTTTAGCCAGCGTTATCCATGCCAATTTCTAAAGATGACTCAACAGAACCAATTACTGTATTTTCCTGTGGGATCGAAAGATTTTCCTATAGTAAAAAGTATCCTACATTTTGACCCGAATAAAGTTGCTAAAATCGATTCAGCACTCGTTGCGTGACATGCACACAGATATAGAGACAAATTGACAAACAGAGAGCCTACCCACCAAATGGCAAAATGAATTCAAAAAATTCAAAGTAGGTACCTTACCATATTTGTTTATTTTAATTTTAAGCATTTTCATAATTTTAAAATTATTAAACAATAATTAATAAAAAAATAAAAAACAAATGGGTAGGCTGTCTGTAACAACTATATAATGCCTTTGAGACATCTTAAACCTTAGTCTCTCCCGTGACCATGATTGCTGTAAACCATTCGAAACGTCTGGAACCAAATTTCAAAACAAGTCCGCGAAAAAATCCGAAAAAGTAGTTTTATTTTAAAAGTGACTTTAAGTTGGTCTCATAAAAAATTGTTGAAGGTCTGATGAGGATCTTTATCTTAATGAGCTGATTAGCTCCTGAAAATGCAGTGCGTGCTCGCGAAGTCTACTGTTCGCAAAACTACTATTTTTAAAAAGCTCAAATAATAATTAATATAATGAAAATATAAAAATTGACATAATTTCAGAGTATTCTGATGACTTCATCCTCGCTCAAGCAGCTATTTTTCTACTCGGAGGGTACGAATCGACTGGTACTCTTATGACATATGCTTCTTATGAAATCGCACATCAACCGGAAATACAGGTAAAACTTTTAGCTTAATAGCTTATTATTACTCAAACTTATTAATATAAGCTTCAAAATAGATATAGGAGGTAATTTAAATTGTAGCAACATTATTGCTGACTTTACCTAATAAAGTTATATGTACTTTACCAACAATGTATATAGGATTCATGATAATTCTGGCAATGAGTTAACCGTATTATTAGATTTTGAGAAATAAAGAAGTCGGTTGATAAAATATATTCTTTGCCGTTACCGTTAAAAAACGCAGACTGTGTAATAAATAGCAAAATAATAATATAACAGAATCCATTTACTTAATAAGTGCTACTTCTAAAATGGATTGTAAAATATTTTTAGGATAAATTATACCAAGAGCTTTTGCAAGCTAAGAAGCAAAACGGCAGTGATGTATTCGAAACTCAAACACTCGCGGAGCTACCGTTCCTCAACTGCATTCTGAAAGGTATGATGCTTAGACTTCTCGTTACATTTTTTTTTTATTTCAGAACCCAGAACCAATAACATAAGTACCAAGCATCGTTTATAAAACCTAACATGCACCAAACTCTGATGGTAAAAGCCCGAAACATTGTCTACTTTTTATTAAATCCTTACATTTACCGACTCATGTTGGCTAATCCTAAGATTTACTAGATAAACCTAAGATTTACCAATATACGGGCTTTTACAGTAACATATACATGTATAAAGTCTTATCTCCTTCTCTATCTTTCTAGAGACTCTCCGGAAGTATCCCACGATGGGATGGTTGGACCGCATAGCATCTTCCGACTACCGCATAGATGACTCCCTCACCATCCCGGCCGGCACGGTTGTGTACATCAACGCTACTGGCATGCACTACGACCCAAAGTATTTCCCCGACCCAGATACATTCAATCCAGATAGATTTTTACCTAAAAACGAAAAAAATATTGATCCCTACGCATATTTGCCATTCGGTGAAGGACCCAGGTTTTGTATAGGTAAGGTTTTTAATACACGATATATTTAAAATATATAAGTTCTATAAATACATATAATAAACAAATATAGTTTCTGAAATTGAATTTTTCAGTTTATTTGAAATATTTGGACGGAAATAGAAACACTTAATGACAGCGTTTCAGCTTTTAACTTATATTTTCTCACTTTTACACAGTTGGATTTAGTTATTTTAATTTTATTTTAAATACACTTAGTGCAATTTCAGATTTTAAATTTTAAATTTCGGAAGAAGATCTCTAGTGATTAATTTTCATCATGTTCCTTTGCGATTTTATAATTGCAGTTTTTATACATTTTTCAAACCTTCAAATCAAGAATTTGATATAAATTATGTACTCGTATATTTTTTATGTAATCTAATATTTTTTACAGGAAAACGTTTTTCATTAATGGTTGCAAGATTTGCATTAGCTTCAGTTATCTTAAACTACAAAATACATAAAGTTCCGAACACTCCCAAGCCTAACGATATTAAGATAGACACCTGGGGACTGTTCTACTTGCCCGGGGAGCCGATGCGTGTGGAGTTCGAGCCGAGGCAAACCTAGGCATTGAGTCTGTAAAATATATTTTACTTGTGGTATCTTTTGTAGAATATAAATATATTAACTTAATATAAATATTATACAGGAGTTTTCAGGAAGAACGACTTCTTATGACCTGATACAAAAATTTCTTCGTCAATAATTATAACTTATTATTATTATTGTACCCTTCTTACATAATCCCTCTTTCTATTAGTAAAATTCGTATGAAAATTGGTATAGTAATTTCTGAGATTAACTTGAACAAACACAAACTCACGCGCGGCGGAGACTTTACTTCATATAAAAAACGTAAAAAAGATGAGCAACTTCTACAGATCTAATCCATTCGAAACTTGCTATCCTATGGGCATTGCAACGATATGGTAACCTTGGCCTGATGCTGCAGCGTCACCTGGAATCTGCAAAACACTCTTTAGTAAAATACTGAAGATATGTTGTTTAGGGTCATTGAAATGACCTCAATGATTATAATGATTTTTAAATTTTAAATTTAATTTGTTGTGATCTTATAATGAAAACTTCTTTTTAATAATAAAAATTATTTTAAATCACTTCAAAAATTATTATTCTACCTTTAGGGATGATTTTTTCTTCTCATTAATAAATATTAATTCCAAAAAAAAGAAAAAAACGAAAATCTGTTTACAATTAGTGACGATATTGCGTAAAATTCGCGTAATATCCGTATACGTATCCGTACGCGTAATCCGAATACTTTCTTTTTTTATTTCGGAAAAAAAATCAGCCCAAAATAACAAAATATATGATTTTTACTTTTTAGTGATTGAAAAAATTTATTAATTTAATTGTTGTTCAAAATTTATGACTTTTTATATTCATAAGTTTTTTACATTCATCTATACATACATATAATAAAATTATGGTAACTGAGCCGAATCTGTACATTAAATATTTTTTTGAAAAACTTATTGAAATAGACATTATTATCGATACAGAGTCCGAATTAAATAGTTTTTAGAATTTTTGTCTGTCTGTCTGTCTGTTACCGCATCACAGAAAAACCACTGGAGGGATTTTGATGAAATTTGGTATGGTGATAGCTGGTTATCCGGGTCAACATATAGGATACTTTTTACCGCGGGAAAATAACTCGTTTTTGAGAAAAAATACAAAAACTGCACTGTAAGAGTATACTAATATGTAAAACCTAAGAATTTGGTTTATAGTAGCCTAGTATTGGTGAGCCGCGGGCAATGCTAGTTACAAATATAATCGCTATATCATAGAATCATAATATGTCCCATGTACTTTCTTTATAGACGTAAAGAAAGGACAATACTCTGGAAGGAAAAAAAATATAATATTATAATGGAATGTAAAATTGTTATTATAACCTATCTTCATTAATCGTATTTTAATTAATACAGAAGATTTCTGGCCACACATTCGTTTTTATTTAATATTCGTTTCTATTCAAACTTTCACCTTTCTTTCGCAGCCTTGAGAGATGCTTTCTGGGATAAAAACTATCCTATGTCCTTTCCAGGGCATCAAACTATGTCCATACCAAATTTCATCTAAATTGGCTCAGCCGATTATGCGTTAAAAGGTGATGGACAGAAAGACAAACGGACAGAGTTACTTTCGCATTTAATATTATTTTTGTGATGCCGACCTATCATCATCGGCTTGGGCAGTACGTTGATAAGTCAGTCAGTGGGTCGCGAGTTGCGACGTTGTTTTTAATCTAAACTATAATAATATTATATGTATAGATAAGTGCATCTCATAAATATATCATATAACTAAACATAAATATACACGTTGTAAATAAATGTATGTTTTGGGATTTTTTCCATGTAACTACTACTGTGCATATCTATAATATTGCTTAATATGGTTTGGACGATATCTTAAACTATCAACCTATTTGTAAAAGAACAACATTAAGGTTATTAATTTTCAAGGAAGAAGTGACATTCAGCCTTAGGATTTCTTAGCTGACGGAGTTACTTTATACATATAATGTTAATTATTATAGATTATTCATTTTATATACTTTTAGTGCAATATTTGTTGTAAACCTAAAAATCAACATATATATAGTAAAGATTTATGAGAATTAATTAAAAAGAACTTTTTCAAACATCCAGGTGCAGTATACACATTTTATAAATTAACTAAATAAATTACTATGTTTTATGTTTGTAAATTGTAATGAAAAATATACCATCTAGGGCTTCTACAAACCATTAGACTACTACAATTCTAAATGCAAAAGGGTATGCGTTTAAGTGTGCATATGCGTGTACGTCTCTCTCTCTCTCTACCTCTCTCTCTCTCTCTCTCTCTCTCTCTCTGCCTGTTTGTGTGTGTGTGCTTATTATGCCGTCACAGTACGATAATGGAAACAATTTTGGATAACACGTAGGCGTTAGGGACGAAGCGAGGGTAAGTCTCAATAACAAAAAGGTAAGTCCTCAATAACAAAAAAATGCAAAAGTGTGTGTGTGTGTTTCTTAATTTATTATTTTTCTACTAATAGCTTATGAGCCGGAGAGTGGCAGTTTATCGATTATTTAATACCTAAAAATTTTGAGTGAATCTAGTACAATAGTAATAAAATTACAGTAGATACAAATAATTCTCTGTGATGAATTAATGTAATGTATAGGACTCAAAAAACAAATTACCATTATAGAATGATACTTCAGCTGGTGTCAATACTAATAGTGTGTTTGGCTGCCTTCGTCTACATAAAATGGAAGAGAGTAAAAAACTACTGGGCGATACGTAACGTCCCACATCTACCACCTAACCCTATACTTGGAAGTCTTACATTCTTAATGAAAGAAAATCCAGTAAGTTTTTATGTTTACTATTATTTCACCTGTAACTTTTGTTTTGTGAAGAAAATTTAAAAATGATATCTCCTATCTATCTATCTCGATTTACAGATATTCAGAACATTTTGGAAAAATTTGACAATTGCAAGTCTGACTCGCACACCGACTATTTTTTTTGTAAAATTTAACAACAAAACATTTACGGTTTTTGGATTTTTCCCTATATTTGTGCTATAAACTTTTTTCCTTTTAGGGAAAACAGGAACCCTTATATTCCTCCATAAAAAATATGTTAAAAAGATTTTATTCACCATACATACATAATTATAATAATTAAAATTAAAATACTTATTTGGAATAACCAAATTGCAGACACTGGTAGCCCAAAGGTAACGAGCTCGCTTGGGTAACCTTGTAAAACGGGTTCAAATCCCGGGATTTAAATCCGCTTTACTCGTCTCACACCTCTGATATTTTCATGTGCGAATCATTTCCAACATGATTACCATCTGTCTTACAATAATGTAAAACATCGTGAGAAAACCTGCTTATCTGAAAGAACCTAACAAGTTTTCGAAAGACATGTGAAGTCCGCTAAAACGCACTTGGTTGCCCTCGTATTAAACGAAGGCTTGTGGCCAGCAGTGGGACGTTAAAAGGGCTGAATACATTTGAGGGCAGTTATTAATTGCATAATGTTATAAATCGTTAACTAATACAAATTGATGTATTAAATATTCACAGGGCAAATGGATTCGTCGAATGAGAGATCATTTTCAATGCCCCTATATAGGAATATGGCTATTCTGGAGGCCAGGTCTGCTGATAAATTCTCCAGAAATAGCTAAAAATATTTTGGTCAGGGATTTCTCAAATTTCCGAGATCGATTTTTAAGTTCCGGCGAAACAGATCCAATTGGGCATCTAAATGTATTCACTGTTAATGTAAGCATTAGTTAATACTTTCTTAGATTTACGCGAATATTTGACATTTTAAATAAAACTATCTCTTCGGATTATTTCGCGGATTTATTTTGATTTTTGGTTCCCGACGTTCCGAATGCTTTACAGCAATCATGGTCACGGGAGAGACTGAGGTGTTAGATGTCTCGAAGGTATAGTTGTTACAGACAGTCTACCCACAAATAACAAAATGAAAATTGCACCAAATACCTTACAATATTTTATAACTTTAAACATTTTTATAATTTTAATTAGTTTTATAATTGAATATGGAATAATATTTATTTAATTAATTTAATATATAATATTCCATATTTAAAACAAAATTCAACGAAATATATTGAACTCCAAGGAAGGTTCTCATGAAGAGAAAAATTGGAAAAAATCATGGGAAAACGTAAAAATCACATTTTTCTTTTTCCTTGCTACTACTTTATAGCTGTTATGAATGCCAGATTTAAATTAATATAAACTACTTCAATGCATTTGTAGATTTGACACTTTCCCTTTCTACGATATACAGTTTGACTTTGACCTTTTTGTTTGTTTGTCAATCTTTCTCGTCGAAACAGAGCAATGGTGTAGCGTGATTTTTTTATGTGGAGATAATTGGAGGGCTGGAGTATGACATAGGGAATTTTTACTGCCGGAGACTATCTCATTCTGACAAGAAACCACGTTTCAGTATAGTCTATATATTCTAACCATTAAAAACTAAAAATTCTAACCATTAAAACGTACGGGACGAACCCGAGCGAAACGAAGGCGAATCGCTGTTCTAAATAATTTTATATAATACCTATATATATTTTTATTTCAATATATTCTATGTATGTACATATAATGCTTTATTTATGGTTTTTTAATTGGAAGAAACTTTCATATATAGGATCCTATATGGACTTCCATTAGAAGAAACTTAACTGTTGTGTTTACTGCCGCCAAGCTTAGGTGTCTCCAAGGATATATTCACCTAAAATCACAGCAGATAGTTCAAAGGATTGCGAACGAGGCGTACGAAATAAACGATTTAAAGGTAGATTGGTGTTATACTCAATTTTTTTATGTTTATGATTTAGAAGAATAATTTACTGAAATCTGATATAATGTTTAATAGATCTTAAATATCCAGTCAACGGGTTTAGGTTAGAGCTTAGGAAGTTTTCAACAATTTAGTGTCCTCATTAATCTTTCGTAATAATTGTACTGAGAACATCCTCCTTTTTTGAAGTCAGTTAAAAAACTATAGCAAAAACAATTTGTCCCATAATGTTTTCTTTCTAGAAAAAGAATATGTAAGTCACGCTATTGTCTATAATAAAAAAAAATAGAAATAAATAAATATTATAATCATATAATTTTACTTTATATTCCTAACAGGGGATGTACACAGATTATACAACTGATGTTATTGGCACTTCGGCTTTTGGAGTAGAGAGCAATGCCACGTTGACTAGCAAGGGGGCACTCAGAGATGTGACTAAGGAGTTCTCGACATTTAGACTACATAGGAGTCTCTCGTGGTTTAGCATCTTCTTTTTTCCGGAATTGGTGACCTTCTTCAGGTAAATGAGTAATTTTCAAATCTTTTAAAATCTAAATAGGTCACATTAGGTCCTGCTATTATTTTTCAATTTATATTTTACTAGCAGAACCCGCGGTTTCGCTCGCGCTAAAACTAAAAAAAAACTCTAAAAAGATAGTTTCATACAAATTTTCATACCCTATTTTACTCCCTTATAGGATGAATGTTTTTAAATGCTAAGACACGTATTTATTTAATTAATTAAAGGGAATATACCAAGTTTCAAGTAATTCTGATAATAATTTTTTTGATTGTATTATAACGTGTTTTTCCGTGGTATTAAGTAATCTCCCGCGATAAAAAGTATCCTATGTCACTTTCCAGCCCTCCAACTATCTCCACACAAAATATCACGCCAATCCGTTACTCCACTTTTAATTTCATTATCGTTAATCCGTTACTTAAGATGTGAAAGAAGGACAAACAAACAAAAAAACAAACAAACAAACAAACAAACAAACAAACAAACAAACAAACAAACAAACAAACAAATAAACAAACACACTTTCAAATTTCTAATATTAGTATGGATTATATCTATAAGAATCAACAAATAGATTATTCGTAATTTTTCTTACTCAAAAAAATATTGTATCCACAATAAATCCTACGAGATATTATATTATATAATATCACAATTAATATAAAGTTTTATTTATATACCTACTTCGCCGACTTACGTTCTTGAGAGATTTACCATATTTGTATCAAGTTTATGTTAACAAAGTATATTTTTATTTGCAAGTCATTCCTTTATCAATACTTCATTATAGGTTTAAATTTTTCCCACAATCATCTGAACAATACTTCAAGAAGATATTTCATACTATCGTCACCCAGAGAGAAGCCGCCCCAGAAGATAGAAGCTATCAGGACTTGCTTGATCTTCTGCTAAAAATTAAGAAAGATAGTAAATTAACCGGAGAAGGTAGGGTTACAATAATATTTTACAAGTATAAAATTACTTTCAAAATACATATATACTTAAAATGACGTATAAAATGGTATCTTACTTATTAATTAATTATTATTATTATTCTACTTAACCGACTTCGAAAAAGGAGGAGGTTTCTATGTTCGTCTGTATGCATTTTTTTTATATATTTTCACCGATTTCTCGGAGACGACATTACCGATTTTGCTACTTTAAACGGTATTGTATTAAGCGGTACCGTATTTTTTATACATATTATACCGTTTTCGAGAAAATCAGAAAAAAAATCGTGAAGTTTGAGATATATTCACAGATCTAATTAGTCTTTTTTACCTACTTCCTAGTACAATGTTTTACACTGTTTTAGGAACCAACTTCGAAAATATCTGATTAGGTGTCTATAGTAAATAAAAATCTCAGTTTAGTTATTATTACTTTTTAGTATATATTTTTTGAAGATGTTTTAATTTTTTTAAATTACTAATATAACGAAAATATTAAAATTAACGTATTTTCAGAGTATTCTGATGACTTGATCCTCGCTCAAGCAGCTATTTTTCTACTCGGTGGGTACGAAACGACTGGTACAACTTTAACATATGCTACTTATGAGATCGCACATCAACCGGAAACACAGGTAAAGCTAAAAGTAGCTTAATGGCTTATTATTACTCAAACTTATTAATATAAGTTCTAAAATAAATTTAGGCAAATTAAATTGTGGCAACGACATTGCTGACTGTACCGGATAAAGTTACATGTACTTTAGTAGATTCGTTAACCGACTTCCAAAAAGGAGGAGGTTCTCAATTCATCGAATTTTTTTTATGTATGTACATCGATTACTCGAAGACGCCTGAACCGATTTGGAATTTTTTTTTGTTTAAAAGGGAATACTTTCCAGACGGTCCTATATAAATTTTATCAAAATCAGTCGAACGGTTTTTATAAAAAATCAACAATAAACATATTTTTTAAATAAATTGTGTAATCGAATACGTTATTAAAAAACTTTCTTCTTACAAATTACCTACTTATTACGTATACACTAAGAATGGAAAAATAAAAACTTGAAAAAACCCGACTTCCAGGCACTAAAATGTTAAAAATAACTAAACGGGGGTTTTCATTTAGAATAGATAACTAATCAGATATTCACAAAGTCGGTGTCAGCGGACAATATTTAAAGATATGAATATCTAATAGGTAAATATGTATTTTAGGTATCGAGATATATTAGATTTGCTTTGCATCGGCTGGCACCGACTTCGAAAACATAACAGAGTAACAAAAACCATTTACTTAATTAGTGCTACTGCTAAAGTGAATTGTAAAACATTTTTAGGAGAAAGTATACCAAGAACTCTTGGAAGCTAAAGAACAAAACGGCGGTGAAGAATTCGAATCTCAAACACTCGCGGAGCTACCGTTCCTCAACTGCGTTCTGAAAGGTATCATATGTTTCAGATTTAATATATTTTTTACGCACTAGCGATTTACCTTTGCTTTGCTCGGATGCACACAGATTTACAGACAGACAAAATTTTTAACAACTATTGCTTTGAGGTCTACATTCTGTACACAATATGCAACAGTCATTGTTTTTAAAAAATATTTCATGTACAGATTTTGCTTTGTTACTATTGAATGAATAAAATACGCCTACTACTTACTTTAGACTTATTACAAGCACTTATGAATCGTCAATTTAAAGAGCGTCAGTGTAGTCTGTGCGTGAGGAAGCTACCACCGGCTCGGAAATCAGTTCTACTGAGAAGAGCCGGCGAGAAACTCAACAGTTGCTCTTTTAAATATCGAAGTTACATTGATAAACACAAGTACCTGGGCCACCGAGCTTCGCTCGGAGTTTTTGGTCAAAACTATACTTTAAAAAAAAAAACTAAAATCTTGAATAAATACAAAAAAATAAACAAAAAAAATATTATACCTTTGTATCCGACAGGGCTTCGAACCCGGACACCTATGATTGTCAATCTTGCGTCTTTTTTTTTAAAAAACTAAAAACTTGAATAAATATAAAAAAATAATAAAAGTAATAACTTTGTATGCGACCGAGATTCAAACCTGGACACCTGTTTTGAATTGTTAATCTTGCACCTTGGCCGCTTGACCACGATGCTTACAGTCGAGTGTGCAAATTATCGACCATATTTTGCGTAGAATAATGCAAAAGAAATCTGCATGAAAACTTGAAAACACGCGCTTTCTCAGACATAAAACTAATCTAGATCCATGCACCGCCCCCGAAAACCCCCGTGCAAAAAATTTCATGAAAGTCGTTGGAGCCGTTTCCGAGATTCAGATTATATATTTATGTAGGCATGTACAAGAATTGCTCGTTTAAATATATAAGATATTGTAAGGTAAATGGTGCAATTTTCATTTTGTTATTTGTGGATAGACTGTCTGTAACAACTATACCTTCAAGACATCTAACACCTCAGTCTCTCTACCATGACCATCTGATCTAATCATGATTGCTGTAAAGCATTCGAAACGTAGGGAACCAAAAATCCAAATAAATTCGCGAAAAAATCCGAAAAGATGGTTTTATTTAAAATCGTAACTTTCATATTTTGGTTGCAAATACTTATAAAGTTGTTTCTATTTCTGATCTTCCCAGAGACTCTCCGTAAGTACCCTATAATGGGATGGTTGGATCGCATAGCGGCTTCCGACTACCGCATAGATGACTCCCTCACCATCCCGGCCGGCACGGTCGTGTACGTCAACGCTACCGGCATGCACTACGACCCCAAGTATTTCCCCGACCCAGATATATTTAATCCAGATAGATTTTTACCTGAAAACGAAAAAGATATTGAACCCTACTCATATTTGCCATTCGGGGAAGGACCCAGGTTTTGTATAGGTAAGGTTCTTAATACACGACATATCTAAAATATATATAAGTTCTTTAAATGTATTGATATAAACAAATTGCGACGCTCGTCTGCGTCACAGTTACATACTTTCTCAATTTTCTGAACTCTCAATATTGGGACAGAATTAGAAACACTAAGTGACAACGTTTCAGCTTTTAACTTTTCTTACTTTTACACATTTATATTTAGTTTCTTTTGAAGTGAAACTTCTTTAGAACCATTATAATTTGAAACTCGATGAAACGGATGAGACACTAAGAAGAGACAAACACATAAATACATAGGATTAAGCCGGCGAGAGTATGAGATAGAATCCATTGCCATATTACCATGGTAAGCGTTGTTATTGTCTGACAAAGATATAATATTATATTTTTTCCGTATATGATATTCTATAAATATATGATTGTAATATGGCTATTATGCTTTATTTAATTATTTGAGATAAAAAACATTACACAGAAAGTGAAAAATAATAAAATTAATTATTAAATAATATGTTATATATATTTATATCAAATGAAATGTAAAACGACTTCTAAACTTGATAAAATTATTATAAAAAATAAACCAAATAATTATCCTACTCCTGATACTCTATATTCATCTCATTCTCTCGTAGGTTACTTTTCTGAAGATTCACTTCTACCGTGTGAATTGCACACACACGCACTTTTATTTTTTATATTTAGTACGTTTTTTGAAATTACCACTATTTTAACAAGAAGTTCTTAATTTTCATCCTGATATGTTGCGATTTTATTATTGCAGTTCTTATACATTTTGTCAAACTCGATAGTTTCTGAACTCTCAATATTGGGACAGAATTAGAAACACTAAGTGACAACGTTTCAGCTTTTAACTTTTCTTACTTTTACACATTTATATTTAGTTTCTTTTGAAGTGAAACTTCTTTAGAACCATTATAATTTGAAACTCGATGAAACGGATGAGACACTAAGAAGAGACAAACACATAAATACATAGGACAATCAAGACGATTCTTGATTTGATACAAATTATGTACTCGTATTATTATTACAGTATTTTTTTACAGGAAAACGTTTTGGATTAATGGCTGCAAGATTTGCATTGGCTTCAGTTATCTTAAACTACAAAATACACAAAGTTCCAAACACTCCCAAGCCTAATGACATTAAGATAGACACCTGGGGACTGTTTTACTTGCCCGGGGAGCCGATGCGTGTGGAGTTCGAGCCGAGGCAAACCTAGTCGATAAAATATATTTTACCTAGGTTCCCTTCGCATAATATAAATTAAGTATATAATAATTACGGAAGTTCTCAGAAAATATGATTTCTTTTGGCATAATACAAAAATGTTTTTATACCTGTGGCTTATTTTTGTAATATTATACTTATAAATTATAGCCTTTATATTTTATACAAATAAAAACTTATTGTAAATTATAAATAAATAAATCACTAAAAATAATAATTCCACCCTTAAGGATGGATTTTTCTTCTTATTAACAAATATAAATTCCAAGAAATTATAATATTGAAATGGAATGTAAAATGGATATAAATACATATCTATCTTCATTAATCGTATTTCAATTAATACAGAAGTCTTCTGGCCGCACAATCGTTTTGTCTCTGTCGCGCCTGTCCGCCATTTTCATGCTGGCAAAGAAACATTCAATCCACTCTGTGTCTATGATTTTCTTAGACTTGTATTCTACAACGATTGTAGAATATTATCATGTCTAAGTCGCCATATTTGAAGAGTTGAAGGAATTGAGGAACGGAAAATTTATGTAAACTTAAAATATAATTAATATTCTAATTAATAAATCTAAATCAAATGGTTAAGTATTAAGTAAAGGTTTTTAAAAATGTAATCTTTTTTTTATTAAAATTTTGAACGTCCTCCATTCCCGATATTTATGATCATTAAATTTAAATTTTCCCCTACAGTAGTATTTTTTTTAATTACAATTTTGACATTAATAAAAAACCGACTTCAAAACACTAAAAAGTAAAACAAAACTGACTAGTAGTTCTTATTTACTATAGATACCTAATCAGATATTTTCAAAGTCGATGTGCTTCGATTTGTATCGGCTGGCAATTGAGAAACTCCTCCTTTTTGAAGTCGGTTGAAAACAAAGTATAATATTATCTTACAACTAGCGACTCACTCTCACGCCGCTCGGGTTCCTCCCTAGTTACGTTTTAACGTTTATTATAGATTTCTCAGAGATAAGATATTTTCCTGTAGTAAAAAGTATTCTATATGTTGACCGAATAATCAGCTATCATATCAAATTTCATCAAAATCTGTCCCGTGGTTTTCTCGTAACGCGTTCCCAGACAAATAGACAAACCACAATTCTAAAAACGATAGATTCGGTCTTTGTATCGATAATGATGACTATTTTAATATGATTCTTCATAAACAAGTTCATCAATATATTTAGTTCAAAGTTTGATCTTTTATCATCTAAATACATATATAATAATGAATTCGTAAACACATTTGTTTGTGCGTTGAATAATAATTTTATCTATACTCGTTAAACAAAAATCATAATAATATTCGATAGTTTATAAAATACTTAAGTACATTTGATAAGAATTTTAAATTTTTTAAAGGGCTAAGTTTAACTTGCGTGAAATATAATTCTAAGTACTTACTATTTAAATAATTTGTATAATTATTTTTAGTTATAAAAATACATATTTTCACACCTTACGCCTAAAAAGTTTTTATTAACGCCAAGGAAACTAATACCCTGAAAGTGCTAAGGACCAAAAGTCCCTATCTAACCGAAACTATAGAGTAGTCCATGCCGAAGTAACCTCAGTGTACCTAACAATAGTGCATTCTCTATTCCTTTCCCTAGTCTGGAGGCTTGATAATTCAAAATTTCGAAACGAACGAAAGTCTCACCAAGGCATGGGACTAACACACCGCCACCTTTCCACTAAGAATAACTTCTTGCGAGAAAAACTATATAAGTATTTGGTCCTGAGATTCGAATCTAACACTTCGATATCCGCAGCCGCATGCAGCCTTAACCATAATTCTAATAAGGATTGCTTGAGGATTTTTTAAACTCTCCACATGTGTGGGCGTTTTCAGTTCGTCTGTTTATCTCGGATAAACTTTATTGCCTAAATCGACTACGAACTGCTACTTTTTATTACCAAAAAAACCCAAAAAAAATTTTCCTCGCTCGATAAATATTAGATATGAAAATTGTATTCTATCTATGATATGCCAGTGTTATATTTCATCTATGATGGATTTAAAGAAATAATTTTAAATAAAGATATAGCTTGAATCGTACTTACATAACTTAATTTTTGCATCTCTCTTCTTTATAAAGCGAATGTACCTAATCCTTAGTGACTATGTAGGCTAAATAATAATATTTCCGAAGACAAAGCCACAAAAAATTACTAAAATTAGTTAGTACCATTACAAATTCGAAGTGTGTTTGTTTGTGTATCTGTTACTCCTTCTTTTTGAAATGGCTGGACTGATTTAGATGAAATTTAGTGCACAGATAGTATAATTTTAAGAAACACTGTGAGTAACGAGTACAATGGAGCTAAGTTGCTATCGGAAGCATAAAAGTTATTGATATGAAATGCTGTAAAGTACTCTTCCACTAACAATTAGTATAAATAAATAAATTAATCTAACTTGCACTAGGACCACAATGTACTCAGCAAAATTGAACGTAACCGCACGTTAACACTTACGTCGACAGGGCGTGTCAATCAGCGGGCCGCAACATTAAACTTTTAATTACGCATTCCACACTATGTGTACTGCAAGTTTAGTTCTGAAAACTATTAACATATTGCTCCTCGTATTTCATCATAAATTATTAAATTTCATGAAGTTTTTCAAGTTTGAAATAGACAGTTTTGTTATAAGTGAGGTCGCTGATTCTATTTAGAAGACGTTTGGCTTAGTTTGTAATAATCTGCTGTACTAAACGTCACAGGTTCAAGTCCCGCCGGGGGCATTCATTTGTGTGGTGAGCACAAATGTTTGTACTCTAGTCATGGGTGTTTATATTTAAAATATATATATATAAGACGGAGGAGGATTTAGTTACCTTTTTCTGTTAGGAAACCTTATTATTGTTTAAAGTCACTATGTTCTTTAATTTACTTTTTATTGCTTTTAAATTGATTTTGAATTTAGAGCAGAGATTTAGTCTCGAGCGGGGTCGAGACGCCATCACGACATTCTTAGCAGATACGCGGCTTAGTAACGTTGGTTGATCATTGTGGATCATAAAGAGTTATGTTTGATATTGTAGTTGGAAGTCGATGATCGGTGACTGTGAACCCGCTAGCTCTAAATCATTAGAATTACCGTTTCAAGTTTATAACATTGTGACTTCCCTGATTAAATTGTGTATTGAGCACTGAATACTTTATTATTTGAGCCCTGATAACGCCCACAAGATGAGTAACCACCAAAGATGATGCTCGTAGTATATGGATAACACGACATATATATATATATATATGTATATATATATATGTGTGTGTGTGTGTGTTTATGTCCCAACATATTTATTATTCATTTATTTATTACTGAATGTGTACTTTGTATAACCTAAAGATTGGATAGTACTTTCGGCCCCTTTAACATTAGCGAACGAGTAATACAATAAATTCTAATAATATTCAGTATTAAAATTAAATCATATTTTTTTTGTGTAGTCCAGTGATAATGCATCATTTGGATAACAAAGTAAAGCGGATTCGAATCTCGGATCTCGTCGATGATGATGATGATGATGATATTTTCATGTACGAATCTTTTGCAACATGATTATGTACTTGCTACAACCATGAAGAAAAACATTGCGACCTAACCTGCATAACTGGGGGAAATCTAACGAGTTGTTTTCGAAAGACATGTAAAATCTGCCAAATTACTGATTACAGGTACAGATCTGAATTTTACGCTTCTTTAAACAGATGAAATGAAATTCACATTATTAGTATCGATTATTTATACATATATACCATATGATATATATTATCTAAAGGACCGTGAAAGAAAAGGAAAAAGGTAATAGACGAATAAAGTAGATAAATTAACCAATCGAGGATGGAGATACACTGTTTTATCTATATATTATACTAATATTATAAATGCGAAAGTTTGTAAGGATGTATAGATGCATGATGATGATTCACGCAAAAACTACTGAATAGATTTTAATGAAACTTTAAAATAATACAACTCTTTGTTTTTGTGTTTCTAAATGCGATCCCGAGCGAAGTGAGAATGAACCAGTAGTAAGTTATAACTAAGCAAAGATTGAAGCATAAGGTAAAAGTTTGAAAAAAAAAACAAATAATGCAAATAAATTACCTTTTTTTAACTAACTTATTTAAAGTAAGATTTTGTCAATTTCAATAGGAATATCCACGTCAATTTATTAGTTCATGAAATCTACACAAAGGACAAAGGGCAATCTATCAACATCGCCACGGGTCAGTCTTTCAGTGTATTTACTGAAAAATGTTAGGAACTTCGACCTTTCCGAGCTTTATGTCGTTTAAAGACGCCTTTGTGTTGACAGATTCAGTTTATCATAACACGATGTCCTGGTTTAAAATATGAATAACTATCAAAAAGCTCTGACTACGTCCATTACTTATTATAATATTTATTTTGTCATAAAATTTCAATATGTCAATTATTAAAAATTTAGCAAATTAAAAACAAGTTTTTTAAAGCCTTGAGTTTCTAAACATATCAAGAAGATATTATGAGGATAGCTGTAAACCAATATATACATTTTGTAATCTTAATATACGCATTTAAGATTTGCGCATTCTGTACTATACATTTTGCGTACAAAACATTTTTTTTGTAAAATAAAATATTTAGTTTTTAAGAAAATAATTTTTTAATTAAAAACTAAATATTCGCTTTTAAAATCACTTTCTTCTATAAAGTCTCAATTTTTTAGTAAATAAGTCTCAATGTTTAATAAATAGGAGTAGGAAAAAATTATAAAGAACAATTTTACAGAAATTCATAACCCAATTCTGTCGTTTAGCCTGACCTCTGAGTCTGAAGTGAAAGCTACTTTTTCATTAAAAATATATCCAAATGGTTATAATCCCGTGCTTTTTGCATTAAAATAAGCTCCTCTAACTACTGGTCTATTGTAAGTTAGAGCTTTTATAAAACTTGGAGGAAGATAAATGATATCTGTTTAA